AGAAAAGTAATATGTTTTTTAATATATGTGAATAAATATAGTACATGACCAGAAAAAACCTCTGAATTCTGGAGCTGGAGCTTCAGCACACAAGCCTCACAGTAACCTTGAACTTTATAGCTTAGAAAAAAGTGGGGCAGCTGCTGAATAGATGAATTAGAAGGTGGGGTGCCCTGGTCTAGATTTTAACTAAAACCATTGATCTTTACAAATTATAGTGAGCTGACAACAGGAATACATCAAAGTCTAGAAGCACAATGCAGGGGATTCATTTCACTTGCTCCTTTTGTCTTTCTTTTCCCCTGGCTTTCTTCTTTTCTACTGATGCTCTCGCAAAGAAGAGCCTAAGTAATAACAAAATAGTGTCAGGAATTAGCCATGTTTAAGACTAGAGATGTAAACATTCCATGAAGGAAATTAGTCCATCCAATATATTTTACTGTAACTTCTGTGTGAGGTGTATGGGTTGTACATCTGGTGGGGGGTATGTCATGCTCCTTCTGGGATAGTTTGTTCACCTTTGGTTCCCCCCACACACTCAGCTCCCACCTGTGGCTCCTAGAAGTTGTCAGCAGGCGACAGTGGCTACCCCCTGGGAACAGCTTTGTCTGGCTAGCTAAACCAGATGAGGGGAGCCAATGGGTCTCAAACCCTTGGTGAGTTAGGGACTTCACCTGCATGCAAAAACGGGCTCTGGCAGATTGAGTAAACAAGACCAATAGTGGGTCCAATAGTCAAGAAAGTGGTTTCTGCACATATTGTAGACGGAAGTGAGGGGCAGATGAGGTTCGTCCACCTGGGAAGGTAGCCCATCTAGGAGAAGGAAAACTCTGGCCCTAAACCTTGTGGGACATCTTTGGGAAAAGAAACAGCTAAGGAGTAAATCCTACACAGATCCAGAGTGGAGTCCTTAAGATAGTTGGATGGTGCTTTGTATGCCTTCTTTTGGCAACTCCTGCAGCCAAGCTGGTGCCAAATGTCTTGCTCTGCTTTCCTTTGGACCACATCAATGAAGCTGAGAGTGGGGTCTTGTCCTCTGGGTAGCCCAGGACCTCCATACACACTGCCCAGGCTTTCGCCCCAGGGAGGATACTTTGATGCTGCTAATGCAGTGATATGACTTCACCTCCGGAGGCACACTCCAATGTCTCTTGAGACAGATGGATGCCATTGCAATGCACCCTTCTGTCTAGGGTGTGTATACGTATTTAAAGGGTGAATGTGTGTGAGGGGCTTAGCAGAAAACATGTGTGTCTGAGAGTGCAGTCATGTACTGCCTGCTCCTAAAGCAGTGTGAGGAACCTATGGCCCACCAGATGCTACTAAACTACAACTCCCATCATCGCTAGCCATTGACTATGCTTGCTAGGGCTTTTGGGAGTTCAACAATATCTGCAGGGCAAAAAGGTTCCCCAGACCTGCCGTAGACATGATTTCCCCTTGCGTGTGTGTGAGCAGCAAGCAGGACCAACACTTCCTTCTTTGTTGACCCCCAACTCCTCACGGCTGCAGTTTGCATCCACAAAGAGCAGCAGCAGACCTTGCAATCAGTAAACTGCCCAATTAGCTTCTGGTGCATGGGTAGATCTCCTGGCTGTCTTCCAGAATGGAGAGCTGCCAGAAGAGAAGCCTCTTAAGACTGGCTATTCTGCTTTATATTTTCAGGTTTTTGCACCAGGCCCCCCAGTAATGAAATGAGTGGAACATTTTTGCCCAGATATGCTTCCGATTGGCTGTAATATATGTTTGTATCTCTCACGTTGCTTTCAGAAGTGACTTTTGAGCACCACTGCACCCTGTCTCAAGATACAATTAAATTCAAGATAGGCTATGTATTTCTTAAAGAAAAGGAAACCTCAGATGGCAAGCTTTCAGAATCAACTTCTGAAATGATGCAGCTTGCAGCAAATTTTATTTACAGAATCCAAGCAGGGGAGGTTTTCCCCAGCACACTTGTCAAGCTACTGCAATCATAGATTCCCTCTCAATTGTTTTAGAAATGTGCTTCTATTTGTAATGTATGCAGCTTTGACTCCCAGCTATTATGTTGTGTTTTCTGTGCAGTTATGAATATCTCCTCCTGCAGCATTCTGCAGCATTTCCTAGTGAATCAGGTTGTCGGTTGTAAGCAAGTAAACACTTGGTCTATGTGATAAGATGAACAGATTGAAGTCTTTGGACCTCTGTCTGTGCCACAAACCTAAACTAGCTTAATGCTTATTCCCTTTCTTCAGGGAACTGTAGATTTGTGAGGGGAGAGGAACCTGAGGATATCTCTCTTTTTTAAAAAAGCTATTCCCAACACTCCATCAAAACTAAAACTGCTTCTTTGTTTACTGAAACATTTCTATACCACCTACCTCAGCCATCTCAAGGCAGTATACAAAAAATACTGAAATATCACATCCCCATTAGAATCTGAACAGAAAAGAAGAAAAGCTGTAGCCGAGTTAAGAACAAAACCAAAACATAACTACCTCCTGGAATTAAACACAAACAAAGGAAAGCGAGTGCAGAAGTCTGTTGTTAATAGGTGCCAAAACATTGTTAATGTTGGTGCTAGCCAGAACTCAGAGTAAAATTAACCTAGCCTTTGAGGATGAAGTCCTAAGTATGGTAGGTTACAGGGCACGCCAAACTCCTGGCTGGGATTGCAGGGCTTGGGGAGCAGCAGAGCCGCCGCTGTTTCCACAACCCATCATTCATGCTGGCCAGTGTGCCAGCTCCCAGACTGGCACAGTGAGGAGAGCAAGGCTGTGATAACTGTAGGATCAGCGCAAGAGCCAGCAGATTTCTTGCCAGCCCGTGCTTGCCTTGCTCCTGAAGCTCCCCATTGCTGGAGTTTTCACTGGCTGCTGCCAAAGTGGATGTCACTGCCCACAGCTTCTGCTCGCCTGGCAGGTGCAGGCCTTCGCTGCCAACAGTGGAACACCCCCAGTGGAACTGGACAGGGTGGGGAAGAGGAACAGCTCTGCCCCATTAACCCCCCCTCCCAGCACACAAGAGCGTTAGGATTGCTCTGCCAAGGGATAAACTAGGTTCTCTTTCACCCAGGTCAGACCCAGCTTGGCACACACACTCCACATGCATTTACATGCACACACAGGTACACACCCCTCAACACATTTGTTCCTAAAGGTCTTAAAGTCCAACCTAACTTAGAATGGTAGAATCTTAGAGTTGGAATGCAGGAATTTCAGCTAAAGCACCCCTGACAGGTGGCCATCCAAGCTCTGCTTAAAAACCTCCAAGGAAGGAGAGTCCACCACCTCCTGAGGGAGACTGTTCCACTGTCAAACAGCTCTTACTGTCAGAAAGTTCTTCCTGATGTTTGTTGGAATCTCCTTTCTTATAATTTGAATCCACTAGTTTTGGTACTAGCCTCCAGAGCAAGAGAAAGCAAGCTTGTTCCCACTTCCATGTGACAGCCCTTGAGATATTTGAAGATGGCTAGCATATTCCCTCTCAGTCTCCTCTTTTCCAAGCTAATCATACCCTGCTCCTTCAACTGTTCCTCATAAGGCTTAGTTTCCAGATCCTTGATCATCTTTCTTGCCCTCCTCTGCACACATTCCAGCTTGTCAATATCTTTCTTACATTGTGATGCCCAGAACTGGACACACAACTCCAGGTGTGGTCTGTCCAAAGCAGAATAGAGTGGTCCTATTACTTTGCATGATCTGGATTCTATACTTCTGTTGATGCAGCCTAGAATAGCATTAGCCCTTTTTGCTGCTGCATCACACTGTTGATTCATGTTCTGTTTGTGGTCCACCAAGAACCCTAGATCCTTTTCACATGTGCTACTCATAAGCCAGGTGTCTCCCACCTTATATTTGTGCAACTTGTTCTTCATATTTGTCCCTACTGAAATTCATTTTGTTAGCTTTCCGGGTTCTCGCCACAAATTTAACTACTAGTTATTTTATTTTGTCCTTTTTGCTCCCATTTATTTCCTAGGAGTTTTTCAGCCAGAGAGTTTATTTCAGACTCTTTTCTCCAGACCAAGAGTGGCTCATGACTGGCCCTCCAAAGATGTTCCTGGACATCTCCCATCCCTCCTGACCATTGGCTAATTCCTGACGGGGGCTAATGAACACTGGAGTCCAGGAACATCTGGAGGACCACAGGGTGCCCCCTTGCTCTAGAACATAATCACACAGTTTTCCAGTCTCATCCTCTCATGGTTAGTTTGTTTGGAATAGCAGGTGAGAAGTATGAAGGGAACTGCCAGGGTGAGATTCCTTCAGGAGATTTCAAGAGATGTCTGCTCTAACATTGCCTCTTTTACTAATTAAAAGCTGGATGCGGGAGCAAGAGCACTTTAAAAGTAAATGAGCCAGTCTTTTAGTAATTAAGACATACCCAGAGCAAAGTTTGCTTTAATTGTTATCTGCGACATCCTCAATGCTACACTGTGGCAAAGAAGCCTCTTGTGGGGGGAGTGGGGAGATAGTCAGGTCATTTATAAATGCAAAATTGATCCAGAGGTTTCCAGGAGAGCATTCTGGATTACGCTCATCCCAGAAAGCAGCAAGTGTGCCCCAGACAATTCTGTGCAGACACACTATGCATCCTATGCTGTTTAGGGTTGCCATGTGTCCTCTTTTCCCAGCACATGTCCTCTTTTTCAGGGGTAAAATGTCTGTCCATGTGGAGTTTTTAATTTGCCAAAATGTCTCTGGCTATACTTTCTGGATGAGACATAGACATAACTGTGGTTTAAGACTTATTTTCCTCTTCTCTTCTCCTGCCCCCCCCCCCAGCAATATATCACAGCTTCTTTAGCCTACATATAGCAGGGGTATAGATCAAAGGTTTTCAACCTTCATTCCCTTCTGCCCTTGATAGCTGATACCCCAAACTCCCTCTTGGTGAATGCCAAATGAGGGAGCAACTCCACTTCAAGACCCGCCTTTGGGTAACTAGCAGGCTCCAAAAGATTCTTTTTGGAAATAAGGAAAGCGGGGGAGAAAGGGAGGAGGACAAAGACAGACTGTCAGACAAGACTGCACACTGTTTTGATACTGACATGTGAATCTCTTCACCTATTAGCTTTCTGAAGTTTTTGGAGACTGTTTATAAAGTTGTCTTCAATGGAGAGTCCACTGTGCCTCTGTCTCTACACATTTTTTCAATTAAAATATCATCTTTAGTTAAATCTCCACTGGGGAGTGCAGCGGCAGTCTGAGGCAGACAAGAAGGGGGAACAGGGGCCTGAGACAAGGGCAGAGAGGCTGGAGAAGGTGGGTGCTGCCTCCTCCCAGGATGCAGCTGACTCCGATGAGATTGCAGAACTCCTGCCTCTCCCCTTCCCTCTGGGGGTAGGAGTGCAGCAATGGAATCTGGGAAGGGAATCTGCCCACTTCCCAATGATGCTGGATAAACTGGATAAATTAGCTTCAGGAGGGAAGGGCACCATCTCCCAGGACCTGGCAGTTCCCTGTTGCTGCAAACAGAGGCCTCAACCCTGATTCACGCCTGGCACTCTTGAAAGGCACAAGCGTCTCATAGGTAAGCATGCCTTGTCTTGTCTTAAAGTGATTGGTGAGTAGGTGTGTGAACCTGTTGGAACTGTTCTGCTGCTACGCTGTGATTCTGAACTCCATGTGTTGATCCCAGACCCCTCAAATTTGGGCTGCTGCTCCCAGCTCAGATATCTTTGCCTTTCCACTGCCATGTAGCCTGTGTAGTGGCTGCTGAGACTCATTTCCTGCTGCTGTGCCTGTATGTCTTCTCTGCTTCTCTTCCTTACTCTTAGGTAAGACCCTTTGTCATTGTAGCTACTGCAGATCTGTTAAAGGATCTCTAGGTTGCAACCTCCTAACCTTACAGAGACCTGAGTGCAAGATGTCCAATAAAAAAAAAGATGCTGAAAGAGCTATGCAAAAACAAACACTCTCAAAACTTTAAAAACGTTTATTTGTAGCACTTTTAGGGAGGTTCTATATACTTTTGAAAATGAAGAACTTGAGTCATGATTCCTGCAGCTGTGCCCTCCTTTACATTTACTATTCACTTAAAACAAGACAACAATCTAAATCAAGCATTATCAAATCCTAATTTAGACTTTTCAATGGAAAGAAAAAAAGTTGGAAAATGACTCAGCTATGAGTAAGCAGTATAGAAAAGTGTTGCCAACAGCTATAATTTAAAACCAATTAAAAGGACAAGGGAGATCGGAGAAAGAAATGCAGACTATATCAAATAAGTCCATTAAATAGTATTGAGATAATGTTTAGCTTTGGAAATGCTTTGAGTAAGAAAACCTCACTAAAGCTAGATTGGCTTGGATTGTAGCTGAATGTGCACCTGCCAAGCGTGGGAATATTGTTGATGCTTCACTCTCTGCCCCCCAGAATCTGAAGCATAATGGAGATAAAACAAAAGCAGCTCCCCAACATATCCTTGTGCAGAGTCCTCTGTTACACCACCAGGTGAAACCCATAGAGTTTCCCCCCCTTAATCATAATAATAATAATAATAATAATAATAATAATAATAATAAATATTTTCCCCTTTTATCTTACAAAATATTTTCTTCAATTTTGACTTCCTGTCAAGTCCCTTCACATATGTTTTATCTTACAACTGAATGTACACAAAACAATAAACGTTTCTATATACATTTTCCAATCCTTAATTGTTATCCACCTCCTTTTACTTCCTTTGTCACTCGGATGCCAGCACAGAGTCAAAACTATTATTGCATTTTTGAACATATTTTCTATAACCATCCCATTTTCCCGCAAATTTTTGCTTTGAGTTTCCTCTGAGTTTGCTAGCCAATTGAGCCATCTCCACAAATTCCTGTAATTTAATTTGCCAATCTGTTATTTTAGGAGCCTCCTGATCTTTCCATCCCTTGGCCACGAGTATTCGAGCCGCTGCAGTTGCATACAAGAATAACTCTCTTGAATTTTTGGGATCTCTTTGTCTAAAATACTTAATAGGAATGCCTCCGGTTTTTTAATGAACGTTATCCCCATAATCTTTTTTAATTCATCGTATATTTTTCCTGAAAAAATCTTAATCTTTTCACACGTCCACTACATGTGGATCATGTCACCGTTATTTCCTTCACATTTCCAACAAGCATTCACCAAATTTTTATACATTCTTGATAATCTGGAAGGAGTGAGGTACCACCTATGGGCCATTTTCATCATGTTCTCACTTATGTTATAGGTAAACATAGGTACGCTGGCTCCCTCGACCAATAAAGCGAGATGAGCGCCACAACCTCAGAGTCGGCCACGACTGGACCTAATGGTCAGGGGTCCCTTTACCTTTAGTCTATTTCCATCCTTCAAGACTGAGGCAGTACTTAAAGAAACCAGAATGCAACTTTCCTGATTACAATATTATTGTTATCAGGAACTTTGAATTTCTTTTCAAAACCTTTGTCTATTCTTCCCAAACTGCTTATGTTTCAACTTACTTGTCACTTGCGATCAACAAGGGCATGAATCTGTCTTTATATCCCCTCCCCCTCCAAACCACCATGTTCCCCCTAAGACCTGACTTTTGCACAGATGGCAAGTTTTCACAATTCTAGTAAGGAGCTTAGAGCCTGCCTACTCAGAAGACATTTGCATTGCCACACCGGGAGCTGCAGACAGCTGCTGCTTGGATTTAGTTGACCCAAAACATGTATTAGAAAAGAGAAATGAGAGAAGGTTGCTTATCTATCGTCATTGGTAAGGAACCTCCTATGTATGTCATAATACTTGCATATATTTAATTAACATACCCAAGTGATGAGAACTACTTGAATTTGCACACATGAAAAAGCAGTGGCAGGGCAAGGCTGGGATTTTGGGTGGTCGTATGAAATCTAGACCGTTCAAGCTGAGAGTCCCTGAAGGAGAAGCTGGCTGCAGTAAGCAGAAGCACTGCTTTGTCCCTACTACCAGGTGAGCCCTTTCCCATTTCTCCTTCTGCTGAAGCCTGGTAGAATGCTGCATTTAAAAGTGCATGTGTGCTGCCTACATTTCCAGGTGCATCTCCAGTAGCCTGGTAATGTCCAGCTAGGGAACCATGATGTGCTTCTCCAGCCCCATGCCACATTATTGCCTGATGTACAACATGATAATGCCACACTACAAATTTCTCAAGCAAGAATGTGGAGAGTTGGACCTGGTAGCTGTTGGTTTCAGTGCCAAACATCCATTTAAAGTAATTTCTCATTTCAGCCTATGTCCACACCCATCCTTAATTCATGGCAGAAGCAAGATTTGAACCAGTATCTTTCTCACATTGGTACTGAGAGGGAGCCATGAAGAATGCAGACTTTTTGAAAAATAAAGCTTTGCCACCAATGATGGAATGGTTTTTAATGCATCTACATTAATCTGAGAACAATTTGTTTGTTGTAAGAGTTGGGTTCTGAAACTATGGCAGATATCAAGTTCTGCACACCTCTATGTGCAAGAACAGTAGAAAATAAAGAGACCTGCCTTTGTTCTAGGAAGGAGCTGTAATATTTACAGCATGTTGCAGTTTTGAAGATGGATAGTCCCCTAGGGTCTAGATGAATGAAAATGGGCTTATTAGGAACAAAGTTCAGGAATAAGAGAAAGTTGGCCCTTCAAGCTGCAGTTTTCTCATTATTTAATGCAGTTTGTTGCTTTTGAATTTACTTTTATCTCCCCACCCCCACAACGACACTTCAGAATGAACACTCACACACACAATTTCCATAAGCATGGTGGGTATTCATCAGGGAGCCATCATTCTGATTCTTTCCCTCCTCCTTTCATTTTGAGTGACAAGTGTAATAATAATGAGCTCGAGAGAAGACATCATCTTTAAAAATTAGACGAGGAGTGGATAAAAAGGAATGGGTTGTATTAGTGAACGAAGAAATTACATTTCCATCAAGACAAAATTAGACACTTTCAGAAAATGCTCGGACAAAGTTGGAGGGGGGTGGAATCACACAAGCATTTCAGAAGATTAGAAGGAGAAAATGAGACAGCCCCTTGCCTTTGCCTGGTGAAAATTATGTGCCAAAAGTATGTGATGCTTAAACCAGGAGGGGGACTGTAGCTCCTTTCCCTATTATCTATAGACAGGTATGCTGATTCTTTGGCTGTCAGAAGTTGGCGATAATAGCAGGGGTTAAATCGCAAACAGGAACGTGAAGCCCTAGTCTAAGCAGCAGCTTGATGTTTCGCATTTAATGCTGACAGGTGCCTAAGATTTCTGTCTCTGTCTCCCTCTCTATTTTAACAAAGCCGGTTGAGCCTGTCATAGTAATAAGTATTTCAGAATTGAGATGGACTATGCAAAGGATTGCACACACATTAGATTATCCCCAGGAAGCTTTACAGGAACCTCAAATAAGGCAGCAACTAAAAAGGCAGTTCAGGAGAGGCAAGTGTGGGTTAACTGTGAGCAGGGGGGAGGGGGGAGACAAAGCAGCGACTTTTGCAGACCTTGGCAGGGGACCATGCTTTTCTCCAGCTCTTGAAAACCTTCACCCGCTGATTTTGTTGATCTTAAAACTACACAAGGGAGCTTATCCACTTACGGTAATTTCTAGTGAGCTGGCAATCCTAGTGCGTGCACAAACCTTTCACATATATTCCTGATTTTCCTTCTTGAACATGGATACAACGGTTCCTACTAATGATTACCAGAGGCAGTCCATATTTTCTGGTGGGCGTCTCTGGTAAATTATCATGGGGCTGTGCATACCGGCCCCTCCCCCTCCCCAGCCCACCCTGTGGCTCTGACTGGTGGCCCAGTCCTCGTGGGCCACTCTGGAAGTCACCCTCCCTGCTCTGGAGCATCTCCAAAACAAATCGGTAGCAGGACTAAGACTTTTAAAAACAGTGGTTGAACCTTATTTTAATAAACAGTTATAACAAGGTTTTAAGATCGTCAGGATTGGATCTTCCTGCTTACCAGCTGGCTGTCAATAGCTACTGGCGATGGTGGCTCAGCTCTGCCCTCAGGATTGGAGGCAGCAATGCTTCTGAATACCAGTTGCTGGAAGCCACAGAATGGGAGAGGGCTGCTTGCGGGTTTCCTCTGATGGGCACCTGATTGGCCAACACTGCCAGCGTGATCTCCCTCACTGGAGCCAAGCTGTGCTGTGTGACGCTGCCTGCCCACCCATGCAGGTAAGAGCCTGGCTGGCTGACATGGCCCTTAGTGAGTGAATCCCCGCTATGCTCACAGAGATGAGCACCAGGCCAGGCTGCCCTAGGGATACCTGGTTTGCACCCCCTCAAAATTGTATGCTCGGGGCCACAGCCCCCCTGGCACCTCCATGCTATGCCCTGGCATGTGCTGCTTGCAAAGGAACAGAGACTGCACTGTGCACAGTCAGGTTCTTCTGATTTCCAGCCAGTAAGGATGAGGGTTTGTTCCTGTGTGGTGGTCACAACACAGCTTTCCTGCAGGACAGCAGCTCATGAAGCAGCACCTGCACTCCTAGGATTGATGCCTTCAGCGGTCTCTGCTTCTCCATGGGGTACCTCATAAAAGGGTCCCACTTTGCGTTGGGAAAGTCCATCCAGAAACACTCCAAGGCACTCTGCTTCACCTTAGATTCCGGATTCATTCTAAGTCACAGCATACCCTACTAAGAGAGCCAGTGTGGTGTAGTGGTTAAGACTGCTGGACTCGTAATCTGGTGAACCAGGTTCGCTTCCCTGCTCCTCCACATGCAGCTGCTGGGTGACCTTGGGCTGTTCACACTTCTCTGAAGTCTCTCAGCCTCACTCACCTCACAGTTTGTTGTGGGGGAGGAAGGGAAAGGAGATTGTTAGCCACTTTGAGTGAAATGCGGGACATCAAGTCCAAACTTTTCTTCTTCTTCTTCTTCTTCTTCTTCTTCTTCTTCTTCTTCTTCTTCTACACCCTGCCTGCAATTTTGCCTTAACATGCTTAAAATGCTTCCCCTATCAGCAGGGAAAATAAAATCTGGTGGATTTCTTTCTCAAGTCTTCTGGAAAAATACTACTACTAAGTTTTATGTGTGTGCTGACACATGCATCAGAGACTTTAGGACCAAACTAGGAATTTCAGAATCTGTGTCCTAATCTTTCAAAATTACTTTTCTCAGATGGTAAAGGGGTTGAGGAGCTGCAACATTAGTCTATGCAACTGTTATTGACCAGGCCTGATACATATCCTAGGAATAAGTACTTTGGTCCTCACCTGGTCAGCAGTGTGGTACTTCCTGAAGTACATAGCAGGAACTGCTTTAATCTGAACTGGAGAACACATCCTCAAAGTCTAGATTTGAGTAGAGCTGCCCTCGTCTAACCCTGAGACTCTTTTACGCCTCATGACAGAATAATGAATTTCATTTTCCTCATTATTGAGTTACTTTTACTGCATCTCACAAGTAACTTAATCCTCACCTGCAGTTCTCTGTGTTGTTTATTTTTAATGGAAGAAGGCTTCCCCTTTGGGTCATTAGGTTATGTATCACGGTTTTCTTGTTTCCATCCTTGTATTTCCTACACTAGTTTGGAAACCGACTACACTGAGCTATGATTGGGAAAGGCCTTTGCTAATGATGCTACTAACAATTTGATTGTGGTGAAACCTTTCCACGTTATAAAGAAGCTAGCCACTTCTTGCAGCTACATATTTCTCTTCTACTTGAAAAATATCCCAGAATGATTGAGACCTTTGGCAAGCAGAAGTGACAACATGCTGTCATTCTACCCAATATGTTCTTTCTCCAGAAAAAACTTAATCTGCTACAGAGGAAGGAGCTGACTTTCTTGACTCTACAGTCAGAGCATTGTTTTCTGGAAACTACCCAGAGGCAAAGGCAATTAGTTTCCCTGAAGTTTTACCACAGAAGTATAGCAGTGGAAATGGGTGTGTATGTATGAAGAATTTATTTCAGGACCTTCACCAAGCAGTGGAGTTCCAAGGACAGAGGACTTACAAGGTTTGGTTGGGAAGAAGGTCAGTGAAAGCCCATGATGACCTTTTGTAATAGTGGAGTTAATTCACAAATATGCAGGCTGCATGTATGCGGAGGCAGCAGCTGAAATGCTCCAACCGTCAACCACACCAGCCTACATTGGAGCTTCAGAAGGCACTGTCTCTGCTTTCCTCTCACCAAGTCTCTAACTCCATTCTCTATTCTTTGTTCCCTTTCATAAGCACACAAACAGACCTAGATCATGACAGCATCCTGAGTTGGGGCAGAGGGAGATTGGTATGCACTCTGCCAAAAATAGCTGCCACCAAGGGATGTCAGAGGAATCTATTGAAAATGAACTGTAAGTGGATTTCCTTCTGTCCACCCATTTGATCCCCATCACTTGCTATGAATACTTTTTGATTACAAATAAAGGTTGCTATTGGGGTCTTAAAATGCACATTATGTGAAAATAGATATGTAACTCGCTTTGTAATCTACTTTATTTACAGTACCTATTTATTGCCACTGTCCTAACAGGTTCCTTATTGCTTTCTGTTTTTCTGAAGTGTTGTTTGTTGACTTTGTATAAATTGTTTCTTCGACAGAGCCAGCCTGTATGCACCAAGACTACAATCCTAACCATGCCTACTCAAGACACAATTCTCACTGAATTCAGCAGGGCTTACTGCCAGGTAAGTTGAGTTAGGATCGCATCCTTAATCTACTTCCTACTGTGAATTTTAAAAGCCAGTGGGATTCAGCATTCACTATTGCTCTTTTCACATGAAAGAGGTGATCTCTTTTGTTACCTGTAGACTTGGTCTGTGTGCTGCTCAGTTAAAAGTCTGAGCCACTTTGTCAAAGTGGGGCGGGGGGGGGGGGGACCCATCTGAATTTGTGTCCATTTAAAATCTCATCCCACTTCTCAGCCAAATTCCAATATTTGGAATATAAATTAGTTTGAGTGATATATTTCTGTACATACACATTTTCTAAATAAAATATGCATTTACAAAATAAAACGTTGCAATAAAAAAACCCAAATATGTGGTTAAATAGCACTACAGCTGTGTGAAGGAGTAATTCATACAATCAAGGACACAAAGAGCAAAATACTAACAGGCTTGCTAAACAGTCCCTAGTGCCCGAGTGCTGGAAAGGAGACAAGATGACAAGTTTATTTTGAATTGTGAAATAAGGCTAGCAAGGCAGGCTGCAATCCTCATCTCAGTTACCTGGGAACAAACCCCATTGAATTCAGTGGGACTTACTTCTGACTAGGCAGGCTTAGAAATACAGCCATAGAGAGCTCTTTGATGGGCCATTAGCCACTCCATCAACTTTCTCTTTAAAGGTGCCACAAGACTCTTTGTTGGTTTTGCTGCAAAAGTCTTAAATTGAACTCTGGCAGTGCAATTTGCCTATAAACCACCCTGATCAGGTGCTAGCTAGAGAAAGAGCCATCTTGATTTTTTAAAAGGAAACATACATAAGAAATGGGGTAGGCTATAAAAATGATCCCACTGCAGAAGTGATTGTGACAACAGAGAGAAGGTCCAGGCCAGTGGGAGCATCCAGGAGGGCCTGATGTGTTCACATTGTGCATGTGGAGGAGCAACTTTGCTCCCTGCTCAAGATGGCGTCCAGGTGGCCAGTCTGCCTGTGATGGGGAGGAGGATACAGAGGATTCCTGGAAGTATCACACCTCACTGCCAAATCCACTCAGTGGTGTCCCTGCTGGACAAATCCATGTGCTTCCACAGGCTTAGGCCACACTGCTGGATCCTGAACTTAGTCATTCTGGGAGAACTGTGCTAGTCTGTCAGTTCTGGGGAGGAATGGAAAACTTTTTCAATATCAGTTTCATTTGCTTCTAACAAAAATGGGAGTTTTTGCTTTTCTCATTTAGCCCTTTTCTCTCTCTTTAAATTTTATTCCCTGGGTAATTTTTGAACAGAGGCAAGAATTACTTGCAAGGCAGACTCATTATTATTTGCATAGTACAGACTTTCATTTAGTTAAGAATGCACATTTTTATTACAATTCCCTTGAAAAATCAACAGTTTAGGTTGAGGGATGGAACGATCTCATGAAAGTCCTAGTAGCTTGGTTAAAGCAAACTTTCTAACAAATCACACACACAAAGGAAAGCACAGAGTTTACAGAATTCTGCTTACTAGTGGCTATCCTGTATACCATATCCGATCCTAAAGGACAATGAACTCTGATTTAAAAGCCTGAGCCTGTTCTTTGCTATGCAGAAGCAGTTCTGGCCGCAGTGCAACTTGTTCTAGCAGCAGCTCCAAACAAGAAGGCTCTTCTTCTGTGTTCTTGTGACTGCCACCAAAGTAGCAGCAGCAGCAGCAGGCCTGTGGAGAAGCCTTGAAAGCAAACCCCAAGGCACAACAAAAAATGAGGAAATAGATCAACTTATTCCCTCCTTCCCAGCCCCTATGTACCCACAAGCCACTCCTTTTCTCAGTTCCACACAGTGGGGGCTGGTCCATTAGGGTGAATGGGGCACTGCCCCACAAATCTCACCAGCCACCCCACCTGCCTGCCTTCTTTCTTACAGTGAGTCCGGGGGGGGGCATGTGTGATGGTTGGCTTCCTCCTCCTCCGTCCCAGTGTTGCCCTTTGGGCACTCCACAGGGAAGAGAAGGAGTTGGCCTCCCTGACAGCTCCTCTACCAGTCCCAAGGGGCACCAGCTGCCACCATCCTCCCATGCCTTTTACCAGGCTTCTGGTGGGTCAGAAAGACAGGGAAGGAGAGGTGTTTGTGTTCCACTGCCCCTCTCCAATGTCAAGCCATGACAAGGGAAAGAGAAAGGACTCCCCTTTACCTTCTGGGGTGCCTGGTATAGTGGTGCTTCACAGCAGTGTGCCAAGATCTCAGCAGCCTCTGGATTCTATTCTAAGCTGATGTTTCCATCACCTATGCTGATTAGTGGGACAGGGCACAGGGAGACTTAGGCCTATTCCCAACTCAGCTCAGCTTGCAACCTAGCAGCCCTGCAAAAGTTGCACTGGGAGGGTAGTACACATCAAATTCCATTTTGTTTCTCCTCTGTCTGGTTCCAGTTGGCTTGGCTGGCAGCAGCCCTGTTCCTGAATAAAGTTTTTTGTTTTTTTTTAAAATAATTTTTATTAAGTTTCCATTTACCAAATTAAACATATCAAACCAATTAATCCAAATTATAACAATACACATCATATAATCCAATTATTTCCCAATTGTAATTTTTTGTGGGGGGTACCCATGCTTCTTGATGTTCCTGAATAAAGTTTTAATTAGGTTACACTGGGATAATTTACTCCCGGGTATATTTTTCTTTCCATTCTGAAGGAAATCAGCCCTGAGTGCTCACTGGAAGGACAGATCCTGAAACTGAGGCTCCAATACTTTGGCCTCCTCAGGAGAAGAGAAGACTCCCTGGAAAAGACCCTGATGTTGGGAAAGATGGAGGGCACAAGGAGAAGGGGACGACAGAGGATGAGATGGTGGGACAGTGTTCTCGAAGCTACCAGCATGAGTTTGACCAAACTGTGGGAGGCAGTGGATGACAGGAGTGCCTGGCGTGCTCTGGTCCATGGGGTCATGAAGAGTCGGACACGACTAAATGACTAAACAACAACAACAACATATTTTTCTTGATTCCTGAAGTTTGAATTGATCTGCCTGTCTAGGTCCAACCCATTGTTTGTTTGTATAATGCTCATTATTTTTTTTGCTTTTAAAATAGAAACCAGAAGCTGCCCAAAACTTACCAGCAATAGCCCAACAACCTATAATATGTGTTTTAAAAACTGAGCTTATCATACATGATTTTCAGTGCTGTTTATTTGCCATGAAGTTGTCCTACCACCTCAGGAATGCACTCTTGAATACCCTCCTCCCTCCAACAACAAAATATCACCTTCACTTGTGAATGGCTCATCTGATATGTTCTGGACTGAACCATATCTGACATGATCTGTCAAAACAATGTAGACAAACAAGTAAGATTGTACCAGCAATTGGTCTCCGATTACGATAGCGGGAATTCCATCTATGGGTTTGCTGCTACCAAAATGAGTTCTGGAAAAGGACAGAAGCCACTCTCTGCTGTCAGAGGAGACAACAAGTTGTAAATTGCAAAAATATTATTGGCTGGGTTGTTTGTCCCCCACCTGCAAAAGCCACATTTTTATTTCTAAGCACAAGGTGAAGGAACATAACTGGTAGCGCAGGGGGGGGGGGTTTAAGATAATAAGCAAAGCAACTGTTCCATGGCCCAATCGCAAGTGATGCTGTCATTTGATCATAACCTGGATCATTTTCTCTTTGTTTGTTTGTTTGTTTGAAAAAAAGAGAATAGATAAAACATGCATTTAAAAGTGGCATTGTGGATATCTGCATTTTTGAGCATGAACAAAGCAACCAATTATGGTGTTGGGAGCAGGAGGGAAAAAAACATGAGGATATGTGCAGAAAGAATAATTTTGATAGAAATGTTTGGGAAAGAAGGCAAAAAGGATGAAGGAGTAATGGGGTGAAGTCTCTTGATATGCTACTGGAAATATACAGGATATCCACGGTGTGAATATGATGCATCAGCTTGAAACAGACACTCTCTTGCTTCAAATACCAGAAGGCAAGGAGGATCTTTGGAAGAAATGCAAGTATACCTCTGCTGTGTGTCCCCCCGCCCCCCTCACCTCCTGGTACAATGGTTATTTTCCTATGGAAATGTTTTCAACCTTAACCAAAGTGCTAAAAAAACCCCAACAAAAACACCAAACCAAACTCTTAATAGAAAAAAGAAGGAAGAATTAAAAAATAATATAATCATAAAACTTAAGGAAGGTAACTGTTCTAAAGGGACATATTATATATTTGTGCATGTGAGAGGTAGAAGTTTTCAACAAATAGTTAAAAAAATTAAATAGTTTTCAAGTTTGTGATGTTCCACTACGGAATGTTTCTAAATTTACTACTTGTATATGCCTGAATGTATATATGTGTGTGTTTAAGCAGGCACTGGAAAACAACAGATATATAAATAACCGTGGATTTTTGTGTCCATACAGTTCATTCATCTTCTCAAAAGCAGTGGGTAATGTATAGCAAAGTGGCTTCTTCTTCTTCTTGCTGGCATTTCATCCATCTTTTCTTTCATTTACAAGCCACTAATTCTTGGCACATGCTACTATTAGTAAGTATCTGGTATTGAGCTTTACTTATTTGTAGCACTTAAATGATATATTGCACTTCATTTAGCATATAAATGATACACTAATTAGAAAACAGATTTCACAAGGTGGAATACTCCCTTTAAAATGCCTGTTCTTTCTTTCTCTACCATATACAGATCAGGGTATGACTCTGAATATGGCTGCTCTGTGATAGATCTCTACATTCCAGATTAGAATTTGAGGAAACAAAGCAGAGTTTTAGAGACATGGTACCTTTAGACACTGGATTCCTCCCCTCTGTTTGCTCTATCTATAGCATCTAGGTTCAGACAGCTTGTTATCAGAAAGGGGAAGAAATCCCATCCTTGAGCTTCAAGCGGGCATCAGGGTCACATGAATTTTCTCTCAGCCAAATGTTATAAAATATTTAAGCACAATTGATATCTTTCCCTACAGAATGCCTTCAAACAGGATTTGCCATCTGATCTCACTGAACTTACAACCACTTTCGTTCTCTATCCGTGAAAAATATGCATCACTTTACATTATGTGGCTTTACTTAATTCATTTAGATTTTAATCTCATCTGAATTTGAGGG